GACCACCTACAGCAACCTGGATCATTTATGTTTAGACCTGAGAGCGAAACGCACATAGACAACCAAAACTAGGCTCCTAGTATTCTTTGTATGCACAATTTGTGTTATGGTTACAGAGTTTTTAAAACCAGTTACTCCTATCGCCATATCACATATATTCATCAAAACGAAAGAAGCAATTTCGTGTTCCACGCTGAGTATATGCAACAAGTGTCATACAAACAGTCGAAAAAATGGGGTATTACACGGAGGAAATAAAGTTGTATGCAAAGTGTATGAAAGCAATTTCATTCAGAGCCGAAAATGAACCGGATGTGTAGAGTAAGGAGCCCAAAATTTCAACTTTATGTCTCGAAGTAAGAACAAAAGGTTGTTGTTATGCAAAATCTATATATCGTCGGGTTTTCTCGAACTAAAGTACGCATGTTAGTATCATTACTATTATCTCTACCGTTAATGTCGTGACTACTCAATTCAAGTTAAATATGCACCCGATGATAAATGCATTGCTTGACTTACCTTGTTGTGTTAACCAATCTATGCCCCGTATTTGGTGTCAGCACAAATGTAATTTTAGATTTTAAAAAATGATCGGAAAAACAAAATGTACAAGTGTATCCATCTACTGTAAACCTCAGTCACACGGAATGCATTGATTATTTCGCGTTAGTTGTCCTTTTTCCTGAGGAACGTCTGTATTCTGTTCAGTATTCAATGATGTCATCTAACATAGAAATGTTCCATCCTGGTAAATTATTTGGCCAGGGCTCAGTAACGTTTTACGGATACTGAACCATATTTCTCATGTTTAGTTTTTCAACGTTTTCAAGATTATTTCACCTGACATTTTACTCATCTTCCTTGTTGTCATGACGTGAGTTATGCCAGCTTGAACTGTCAGAAGTTTATTCTATGTCGACAGCTAAATCCAAAACATTTGTGAGTCCAGAATTCAAACGATCAGTAAACTGCCTTACTTATAATCACGTATGATTAATCATATGGCCCCTGATTAATCTCAGGAATCGACATGATATAAATTAGCCATTTTCATATTAGGCCGACCATATAGACCTCTGTCGGTTGCGCACCATTTCGTATCAGACTGACCGTCCTCCCGTAAGTTTTGTTTCCATAAGTGTAATCTTGAAGGCAGTTTAGAAAGTGGGTATAAGGACCCAGCTGTCAGATTTGTATCCAATCTACTTTGCGCCTCACCACCTAGTCTTTCTCACGTTCTGGTATAATGTTGTTGATTTATGTGGAAAAAATTTCCACCAATTGTAAAATTGATGCTCATCTGTTTATCGGACGATGACTTTTACACTTTTAATAGCTGTTAGTTGTGATTGATAAGATCAGCATTTCAAGTTTATTGTGAGTACAGACATGCTGTAAGTAGATACATAATTTATTTGTACCCGGGAACTCCATCTAATATCGATAACACAGCGTCAAGGTATCAGCACTACAAGTTCACTGAACTAATATGTAAAATGAAATTGAAGTAAAATAATTCATTCGCTATGAGCAACCTGTATTTACGTACATAAACATCCGTTTGTGAAAATTATGATGTATGAACTTTAAGGAATCGCATATGAGTAACATTACAAATAATTCACAAAAATAATCGATCGGGCTTTAAGAATAGAAACTGTCAACATAAGGAAGAGAATCACATATCCACACATTTTATTCAAACCCTCACTGTTGACATTCATTTTGTCATATGAATAGCCAGTTTGTTAGTTTCTCCATCGCCTATCTCTGTAATTATGGTATCCTCAACAGCTAATATTAGCTTCCGCGCCTAGTCTTAACTCAAGTATCAGGCTTAGGAGTATCTTGGTATCACACTTTGTTGTGCGTATTTTCCACTAACTTGTTAGAATGATGAGACGATGTACAGTTGAGGAACTATGGTCCACTATGATATTAGTACTGCTCTAATAATAGACCTAATCCTAAATTTGTAGATTTGTCATGATATAACTGCCTAATCTATAAGATCTTACGTGGAAGTCACACCATCGACTACACCAACTCACTGTATCGTATCAATTACCAATACATGATGTAGAACAAGGTTAGGCTAGAGAGAGAACAATATATTTGATATGCCATTTGATCAACTCTCATTCATTCAATTCATTGTTCCCCGCCTTCTCCATCGTTAAGTATTTCTCCGCGTTAAATACTGAATATCTATTTTCTGAGTAGTCTCGTGTTCAGCTTTGTGGATTGTGTGGTTATTATCCAATGCCACTACAAACCTTCCACATATGTAGCGAAATTTCGTTGCTGAGCTGTGTTACAACTTCATGTTTCGGACGAGCTGGTCCAACTTCTGTTGATCGATTTAATCTCCCTGTTTAAGGATACCCTGTTTTTAAGGTATCGCGAGGATGGGAAACCTCACTAGTAAACATATTTGGTGTAAAGTATTTTCTACAGTCACGCCGTTGTGCCTTTATCACTGCTCGGAATAGCCCACGTGGATTTAGCACGCCGTATTTACGCGTGTCAGCATCTGCATAGCGGAACCAGGCTTCGGTCTTATCAGGCTGGAATTGTATAAGTTGAAACGTCGGGGCATAAGAGTTTCAACTTTCAACAGTTTGTGTGTCTGTTCCACCATAATGGGCGTGAAATATATAAATGGTCCGAAAGAAACAGGAATAAAAAAGTAACATGATAAGTAAGAGTTAAAAATGACATGTAATGGTACAGCAAAGAATATTTCCAATTTTTCGTTTGTTAAACCGGACGACACAGAGCTTATAACCAAAGGCGCCACAGATATTCAGGATTTGACAACGTTTTTGTCTGTAACGCCTTTATAATCGAACGAAACCAATCCAGCCAAGTCAGAAGTCAGATATGTAGGAGTTTGAAGACATATTTCGAAGGTTGTTGATATACCGAGAAGCGTTTGATCTAAGATGGCTGGGAATGCGTGACCGAGTGCCTTCAGCCATGGTGAGTACTGCAAAACTAATGAAGTCAGTATCGTTGTCGAAGACTCAGAGGACTTTTTATTTTGGCATTTATCTTCCCCTATAAGCTATTCTGTAAGGTATAAATACATATATACCTATTTATCAAACGGCCAGTTTCTCGTACCTTAATATCCTTCTGACTAAAAGCTTCCATTTTGTAATGTATATTACAGACATGTTGGATTTGAAGTGCTTATATTTGCTCCACTTCATATAAGGGATCAGAATAATTTATGGTCGTTGTGTGGCTTATTATACACTACGAGAAGCTGGGGAAGCGAGAGGTAGACATGTGAATCAAATAAAAATTTCATAATGCAATATTAAAAATTAAGTATCTTCACCAAGCAAGGAAGTGAATGCCTATTTTATCTGACATATTTCGGTCTTAATAAGGGGTTGTCGAGTAATTCATAATCACCTAGCTTCGTATGTTAAATCAACCTCCTCTTAAAATCACTGATTATTTTGGAAATATTATTGAAACCAATGTGTATGACTGCATATGTGATAAAACCCAGGATGGATTTATTACAACTTTATGTAAGCTGCATAAATAATTAGTCTAGTGAGTAACGCACATCGACTGATGTGTAAACGATTCAGGAAAGATTTATAGTAACAATTCAATGTAAACTAAGTATAAAGTTACCCACGATATAATAAATCAGAACAGTTTTAGTAGATAGGTTGTACAATCAATTTACATTCACGAAACTGGATACAACCAAGCTATAAAAATATCAATCGCAGAATTATTAAGAACCATAAAAGTGATTGCCTATCAGAAGATAACAATGTTTCTACCAAGCGGAGAACACAGTTCAACCTTACTGAATAGGCCAGTTAATTACATTTAAACGTGAAAAACAAAAACTGTAAGATAATAAGTAAACAAAAAGTTGAGCCGTAAGGACTGATTTCTTGTCATGAATATTAGATAGTCGCAACAAACGCGGAAGGTGATTCACTGTCAAAAACACAAATAATTCAAAGTAATCAATTCAAACACGTCCAATCAAGGAGTTGTGAATCAATAATGGCTGCCACTATAATGATACGTCAGGTAAAACGGAATCTCCACCAATCAGGAAATACCAAAATTATAACACAATGGTAGAAACACAAGTGTTAGTAAATATCAGAATTAACCCTGTTATGAATCAAAGACTACACACAACATAGAAAAGTGGATAAATGAAACGGAAAACTTAGTAACCAGGGCGAAAAAGAACGTTGAGGCCGCGTACCATTCATGAATGGAATTTTCTTAATCTCACGCATAATTCTAATAGTGGTAGTTTACAATAGATAACTTGTTGAAGTTAAAACAAGTAGTACAATAAAAATAATCTGTACTAACCAGCTGAAAACAATTTGTACATGGAGTTTATCCCGAAGTATGACTGTTAAGGTTGTTAGATCCCAAGAACTCACTTGTTAAATGCCTTACTTTTTGTTTTCGCGCCAAAAGCGCTCATTTTCACCTTCATGTCATATTTTCCACTTGGGAGAATCTTAAACGCTATTGATATCTTTTAGTATGCTATTTTGTAACATTTCCCAAGGACAATTTTATGTTATATATATATATATATATATATACGTTTGATTTGTGCCTACTGTTATTTGCTAGAACTTCTGGCTACTTGCGGAATATATTTCCCCGTTTTGAACTTCGACTTTTCTCTCTCTAGTTAGTGGGGCTGGGATGCATTAGAATAGTGTGCTTATTGATCATTGGTCACCGAGTCTTTGTTCCGGTCATAGACTAGGTGAACTCGTAATCACTTTTAAACATAGAGCAATGACAAAATGAACTAAAAGTAACTAGAATGTTCTGGTGGAGTTTTGTTCTCTGAGCTGGATGGTTTGGTCGTGGAGCTTTCATCGTTCTTCTGAACGACATCATCAGCACAAACTTCAGACTTCTATCTCCACCAAAATCATCCACCTGAGCTACAAATCTTCTCCACCATTTCAACTAGAATGTTCATATCTACATACATAATTATTGAATAAGCCACTTTATTTCATTTGTTTTTTTCTTTTTAAACAAAGAACTGTACAGAAAAGTATCATCATTTACATACATACATAATCGTTTTGTTTTTCTATACTAAATTCAAAATAGTAACATCATCTTCTTCTTCATCATCATCATCATCAACAACAATATGTGTTTCATATACAGATTCTATTGTATGATCATTTTGTTTAAACACTTCAGAAAATGTTTGATTAAATGTATCCGACATGAGAGAGTTAGCATGAAACATATGGATTGAAGAATTGAATTCATCAAAATCATTCTCTGATGAATTCGGTAATATTGTTCCTGTGATTTGATTATCATTATCATGATGATTTATATTACTACTACTACATACTTCAATGACACCATAAGGTAAAAGTTTTATTTCATTCTTTTGTTTACTATGTGATTTTATTGTAGTATTTTTCCCATTCTGTTCATCTGTTTCATCAGAACTTACAATATCCATATCATCATTATCGAAATCTGAATCTGAATTATGATCGATTGGTAGGATTTCACCTTCTTCTCTATACGAACCAGTTTCATGATCAATTTGATTAGTTTTATCAAGTAGAAATGTTGTAGTAGATAAAACTAATGGAGCATTTGATGGTATGATTCTACTTTCATTCAATTCACTAGATCTAGCATGTGCAGCGGTTAAATTTGCTTCTCTTTGAACAGATAAACCTTCTAATATCCAATGAATTAATGAAACAAGACTTTTCGCTTTGGAATTAGCTAAACGAATACACCTAAAAACAAAATTAATGAAAAAACAATTAACTTTTTTAGAAAATATAATCTACGAGTCACTATATTGCACAACTTTATTTCAACTTTATTACACGAACTGACCTCAGATAACCAGTGAAAACAAAGAATCACTAAACGGGTACTTCGTCTAAGTATAAGACTTTATAAAGGCGTCTATACACAACTTTACAGAATATCGAACCCAGGACCTTAGGGTTTCACACCAAGAGCCAAACGATTGAAACCACTGAGTCAGCACTCAATCATTTACAGCACTAACGTCAATTGGTTGGCAATACATATAGCAATCTCTTTATTGTGTATATACAATTAAAAGTAAAACATGCATCTGTATAAGAATCGTTGAACTGGCTTACTGATCTGCGTAGCAAACAACGGAACATAGTAACTAAATTCGTCTCAGTTTACAAGTTCCGAAAATCCATAGAAAGAACCACCATCCAAAAATGCAACTTATAAAAAATGATTTATACAATTTAGTGTTTACTCAGAAGTTATATCTACGTTCGATTGTAAATTACGAAAAAAATATAAATCTATCTGCCATTAAGAAGAAAAATGCCCTAGTACGGCCGAGAGTGGGGAGAGTCCACCCTCCATCTCGAAATGCTCTCACATGGCCACGTACATACAATCACTGTCAGGGAAGTCTTACTCATTGCTGTTTATGCAGCATTACTGTTGTTTGCGGAAATGAGAGGAAGAAAAGCGAATGTCCGGTGCTTTAGTCGGGTTAGTGAACATGGAGGGGAGTTGGAAAACCCTGATTCCAAACCAATGGTGTATATGGGCTCCAGGAACCTGGAACAACAAAAGGTGTATGAACCAATTATTGGTGACCGGCTACCATAGGACTACATCTTCTGACGTTGCTCCAATGCCTTGTGGATTATATTATTAGGTTGAAGGCTCCAGATGTAGCCCCCTAACCCTAAACTACCTGCTTCGGTTTGGGCACCCGGGCGGTATCCCATCTCTCAAACAAATCGAATGATCTATTTGGTGCCCCCTTGTACCAATGTTTATGTGTTTAAATAAAATAGATAAAAAAGAAAAATTAACTGATGAACCTTCTTTATTTCTCGTTGTTCACTGACTACTTCAGCAACAACATACTAGTAAGGTTGTTAAATGATTTCCATAATCATTAACAACCGACACCGTTTAGTGATTGAGAACACATTCAACTGTTTGGGATTTCAAACAAGCTTTACTTATCAATGAGTTTATACTAGAAAAATTGCACAACTGAGAATATGACGAAAATTTGCATGTAATTATTACTTTGAAGTTGAACCTGGTAAAAAAAAATAAGTAAATATATACCTTGAAAGTGATGAACATTGAATAGGCACAGATAATCCAGTAGTATATAGACAGCATATTTCAGAGGTATTCGTTAAACCAAGCAATACACGTCCACCAGTAAGTATAAGTTCTTCACGAGCGGTAGGATCAACTAGAATTACTTTAGCATCTGCAGTTAGACCAAGTGTAACAAGTACTGGAGTACGACGAATACCTAAAGGTACTCTAGGTCGAAATTTAGCCTCAAAATCGACTAGTACCTAATTGAAAATTATAACAATAAAATATATATATAATCAAGTGAAAATCAAACTATCATTAGAATATATACAAGACTGTTAGCATAACTTGCTTATTATAGCGATTACGACACTGATATTGTTATTTATCATTTATTTACTTGAACACATAAATATTGGTACAAGGGGGTGCCAGATATATATATGCGCCACACAATCACAATGAGAATGGGAAGAGAGAAAAGAAGGTAAGGTGCGTATAAGAAAAAAAAGGGAACAATAACGACCACAGATTAGTGTATGGTGGTGTAATAGTAATAATAATAGTAATCGGGGAAACGGAAAGGTACAACCAGAAGAAATCTTTCAGTTAAGGAAGATACAACCACTTTTTATGAAGAAAGTAAAAGAAGGTTACAGCAGGATCGCCACTGGCTTCTAGTCTGAGCCATATCTGATAACGTCTCTAGCCACTGTGTAGCACCATCTCTCGGACCCCAGCCAGGGAGTCATGAAGGACTGACAGAAGCCAGCCCTTTGCAGCTTTCTATTATACCACGATACCATGTCATATACTGACCACCTCTCCGCTTTTTCCAACCAGTCCCAGAGTCGGCAAATAATGCACGACGTAGAATCCTCTGGGACAACATTCAAAGAACATATCCAAGCCACCGAAGTTGATGTTTCAAGATAATGACACCTATTGGATTATCGTCTCTGTGCCCGAACACACGATGCCGAACCTCTGCATTACTAACATGGTGTTGCCACTGTATGTCAACAATCCTTCGGAGACAACGATGATCGAACACAGAATGTTGTCTAACGTCCTCAACTCGATAGGCAAGGTTTCACAAGCATAGAGTGAAACTGCTCTCACCAACGCGTTGTAGATCCGACCTTTTACAGCTAGACTAACATCACGAAGGCGCCAAAGATGGCCCAGATTGGCATAAGCTGCTCTGGCTTTCACTATACGTGCATTGACCTCATCACTCACGCCACCACCAGCACTTATGCAGCTACCCAGATACACGAACTTCTCGACTACTTCTATCTGCTCACCATCCAGGATGAGTACAGGATTAGAATCCTGCCAGTCTTGTAGAAGTACTTTGCACTTCGAAGGTGCAAAGCAAATACCATACCTACAGACACTGATTGCCAACTGATTAAGTGTGGATTGCATGCCTTGGGCATTATCGCACAGTAAGACAATATCATCCGTATACTCAAGGTCAAGGAGTCTTTCTTCAGGCAGCAGATCCACACCGCCATTACTTACATCCATCAGCAATGGCGGCGTGGATCTGAATAAAATGAAAATGACGATATTTACTGATATTGTAATCGTATCTTAATAACGATAGAACATTAACACCGTGCAGTGAGAAACATAATGAATGGTGGGATGTTTCAGGATAGGTGAATAAGTCATTTACACACAACAGACCACCCCAGACTTGTCTCTCCCCTTTATCACTAGACTTTGTGACATCACTTGAGTTTATTCGGCATACTTTATTGGATTTTGTAAAAAAAGAAAAGACCCTGAATCTATGTGGTGTAAGGGCGACATTATGTAATGAAATTGAATGTAAAAGAGTAGTTCCTAAGTGAGATCTATTTTTCTAGTGATTTTATTACTCGTGAACCGACTGTACAATTTCAAGAATGGAATAAATGAAAAGAGATTCATTAACTGAACCATCTTCTTGCTTTATCTTTCAACTTATTATTTTTATTTTATTTTAACACATAAACATTGGTACAAGGAGGCAACAAATAGATCATTCGATTTGTTTGAGAGCTGGGATACCCCTCGGGTGCCCAAGCCAAAGCAGGTGGTTTACTTTGGGGGCTACACCTGGAGCCTTCAACCTAAAAATATAATCCACAAGGCAGTGGAGCAACGTCAAGAGATGCAGTTCTATGGTAGCCGATCACCAATAATTGGTTCATACACCTTTTGTTGTTTCAGGTTCCTGGAGCCCATATACACCATTGGTTTGGAATCAGGGTTTTCCAGCTCCCCTAGGTGAACCCTCTATGTCCACTAACATGATTAAAGCACCGGACATTCGCTTTTCGTCCTCTTAATTTCTCAAACAACAGTAACGCTGAGAAGAAGCAATGAGTAAGACTTCCCTGACAGTGATTGTATGTACGTGACCACGTGACAGCATTTGGAGAGGGAGGGTGGACTCTCTCCACTCTCGGCCGTACCAGGGCATTTGGAGGCATATCTTTCAATAAATGTTTTTTGTCTTAGATGAATGTGTATATTAAGTTGAAGTATTGGCTCATTTGTCCAAACATTCGACCAGCCAGTAAGTCAGCTACAACGTAGGACTAGGCACATATATGCATCGGTCCAAGGCGCCTTACCTCATTAGAACTAGCACTCGACCGATGAGATAAGTTTCTTTCGGTACAATTCACAAAATTATCCAGTCAATATTTCAAGCATGTCTGGTAGATGGATTAAATTGATTTCAAAACTACGTCATATAACATGAACAGACAATTTCTTTTACAAATAAAATACATAGAAGGATTGCTTTGCTTGGTTAGAAAGTCGGCTTAACGATCAAAGCATTTGTCGTCCAACCGCTAGGAAGCTGGGTTCGAACCCTTTGCTACTTCGGTTTGAGTAGTTGAATAATATCACAATCTTTTATGCGAAAAGATGGAGCTTACAGTCAAACGTATAAACTGTAGTGCGACCATTAAATGATTGCCTATTCAAACTACAGTTTACACAACTCAGTTTAAACCAACAAATAGTAGTCCTACTAATAAGTCAACTCACAGACTATATATATATAACCAAAAACACCTATCAACAACTAACCGACACTGAATTAAATTCACTCAATATTTTAAAAAGCTATTACTCACTTTACCCGTATCATCAACGTAAACATCTGGTCGACGAAAAGCTGCCAGAGCGGCGACAGCTGCCAATGCACCACAATCTCCTAAATTTCCATCATAAGATAAAGCACGTAATTCAACTCGTACAGCAAATACACGTTCCCAAGCAACTATACACAGAGCATCCAAGTCAATACTGTCTCGAAGTAACGTTTGAAGAACAGCTGATAGACGACGACCTTCATCATCACGTTTTTGTTTACGATATAGAGCTATTGAAAAGATTGGAAGACAAATATATGTATCGTTTAAACATTGGAAGTAGATTATTTCAAAGTTGACGAGGAATTAAAAATTTAATATAGATGAAAGATCTGAGTGATAGAAACAACTAAGATGAAAGTTACCGCTACTAACCCCACATTCCACGACTGTCGAAAATCATATGAAAATACCAACGAAATGACGAGGCTCGAATGATTACTTCAGACCATTCAGACCTTTGGATATACCCTTTTTTAGCCTAAATTAAATGACTATATATTATTAGCGTCATATATATGAGTCTCGGAAAACTTTCATTATCATAGATTTCAAATGAATGATTAGAAAAACCACTTTACATGAACAATTTACAATGTAAGTATTCTCCAGATAATTATTTAGAAACTGGTGTCTGAAGAAATTTCAGTAGGAATTCAAAAAACTCGTTTGGCCTCTGCCAAATTGCTTCACTTGTTGAGGAAACAAGGTACCTGTCAATCAGGGGTATCGCATACTATACAGCAGCCCACTCTATAGTGCTCAGTGCCTGTGAAACATAGCCCTTAAAAGTGAAAGACGTGTAAACTGCAAGCATTGGAACATGGGTGTCTTCAAAGCAATACTGGTGCATACTGAGACCATTGAGTGAAGAATGCTGAGATGGTAAATAGGCTACTGAGAAAATGTAGCAAATAGGTTAGTGAGACAACGAATCTTCACCAACTAACCTGTCTGGGATATATATTATGTATGCGCTTCCATTCCTTAGTTCAAAGCTAAATGTTAGAGTAGGGAGGATTAGACGAAAACTAGGGGCGACTACACTAAGACAAGGTATCAGTTTATGAATGAGCAATGTGAGTACGAACAGATTGCCTGGCTGGAATCGGAGGGATAAATTCGAACAGTAGTTGACGACATTGAGTGACATGGATCAGAATTGGTCACAGTGGCTCATGTACACTGATTCTACATATTCACCTAGATCTTAAGTTTTAAGTTTATTTGTAGAATTCATTACTTTTCGAACCATACCTTCGTATATTAAATCTTTCTCACTATTACTGGTACTATAACGATGTATGCTACTGATTTCAATAGATATAAGTAGTATGTATCACCAATCGGAAGTAGAATACCTGAAGACAGAAGTTTGAGAAGATTGAAGAGAAGAAAATGAGAACAGAGAATGATTGGTGTGGAAAGGAAAGAATAGTCAAGTCTGAGACAATTGATTGACATTTTGCAAATGAAGTATTTACTATATGGTTCTCAGATTTTACTAAGAGATTCTGCAATTTTGTGTTCAAATACATTCGATTGTGCCGAATTGTGTTCTCCTTTACTACACTAGTAATTTCCCGACTTCTTTGCCATTTATTTTATAAACTTTATCTCATCGTCCTGATGTGGTGTGGCAACTTGAACTGACGTATATTTTTGCCATATTCGATATTGATTTTGAATGACTAACTCATACAAAACGGTAATATTTAGGTTTATTATACTAAAACAACAAATTCGCTTACGGAAAACCGAAGAAGCATTTTTCTACACAAGTCAATAGACTTCTTACACTTGACTAAACTTAAGTAGATTCCCCGGACAGATTTCTACGAGTCACTCCGATTGTACAGTAATCTTAACACTTCATACTGTCTTCATAACAAATAAGTAAAGAGATTATTTACCATCGTAATGAACTCAAAACATATGGAATAGCTTTTGTCTGAAGTTATGACTATTAGGGTTATCCCGATAGCGCTCGGTTGAATTAAACAAGCAAGAGAAAACTGATAGTGATCTCTAACAATTAATAGTGAGAGTTGATAATCAGAACAAAATTATCAGGATGGGGGTCCCTAGGAAATTTGAGTTACCTATTTTATTATAAATTTTGATCACCTATATGAACTAAAAATTACCCTGAAGTTGAAAACTACTAATGATATCATAAACATAGGAGTTTTACGAATGTCAAATTACCTAACATAAATGAAAACTAAAATGTTAAAAACTTACTTTTACATAACTTTAAAATACTAGCATCGAAGTGTACAAACAACATTCCTTGAGAAGGGCGAAAATGTTTAGGCTCAATTACTTCAACTGAAACTTGTGCCATTACAGTTGTAGCGCCTATTTTGACAACACAACAGCCGGAAACATTAGGATCTTTTCCTTGGGGGAAACGAAAGCTGATTTCACGATATTCATTTATTGACCTGCCATCTAGACGATAACCAGATATTAACATCTCTGTCAGTGTATTCACCTCTTGTGTAGGCAACATAGTTACGAAATACTGGTAACTGACTAGGAGGAAACAAAAGTAATCCATAAAATCTCAAATTATAGTAAATTATGAACACTGTAAGAACAGAGAAGATACGTGACACTTGTATCCGCAGAAAATAAGATACATTTGTACCACTAAGCAGGAAATCCATACAAGTTTCCTCCTGGTCTGGATCTGTGAGAGGACTCAAATTAGTGGTTGGAAACATTGGGTAAGATAGCTCAGAACTGATCCAAATAACTTAGGCCAAATTAATCGTTACTTTATTCTAGATCGTGAGTTGCAGTGTTCCTTCATAAACACTTTCCTATACAATCTTTCTGACCCATATTCCCAAAATTTAGTGCCATCAAATGCCCTGGTACAGTCGAGGGTGGGTAGAGTCCGCTTTACCTCTCGAAATGTTCCCACATGGTCATGTGTACACAACCACCATCAGAGAAGTCCTACTCATCGCCTTTCGAGACGGGGGTGTGGTTTGCAAAATTGAGGACGAAAAGCGAATGTTTGGCGCTTTGACCGGCCTGATGGATATGGAGGACCCACTCAGGGGAGTCGGAAAGCCCCGATTCCAAATCAATGGTGCACATAGATTCCAGAATCCTGAAGGAACAAATGGCGTATGAACTAATTATTCGTCACCGGCTTCCATGGGACTGCATCTCCTTACGATGCTCCACCGCCTTGTGGATCAGACCTTTGGGTCGAAGGCTCCAGGTGTGGCCCCCTAAGAAAACCACCTGCTTCAGCACCCGGGCATTGTTACAGCCCTCACACAAATCCATGATCAAGGCTGAAAATTTTCTCTCAGACAAATCTTATTCACAACCATATAACAATCAGCACATAGGCGACTGTTAACGGGGATCTATTTTAATAGTGCTTTTTCTACCCTCATACTAAGTACCATGCCTGCACCTGCCAGTCCACGAGAAATAGCGATCGGGCGGCCAGATACACGGAGGGTGTATCTCATCGGCTCTCTATTTTGGCGAGGTGCGGTCAAGTGAATGATCACACTAAGATTCTGCGTGTGTGTTCCAAAGATACAGCATACATCAATGGTACGAGATTCTAGTCTTTTAGCAAAGGTCTAAGGGCCGATTCGACAAAGGGTGCGTACTTTGAAGACTAATGTGTAGTTTGGAGCGAGGTTTCTGTAGACTTTGTACACTGTTTCGCTCACTAGAATCGTTGGCCATGGTGACACTTGAGGAGGAGGCCAAAAGGAGAAGTTGAGAGTTGAGAGTCGACGTAGGAGAAGTAATAGGAATTGAAGAGGGAGATTGATTATGAATACAGTGATCTTGTGTGCTGTTAGAGGTATGAGAGGGGTTATCATTTCCAGGTTGTCCACACCGTGGAAGGGTTCTTCTGGAGTTACCTGAAAAGGTAATTGGGTTAGAGGTGACCTTAGTGACCTGAGAGCGTGACTGCAGTGCCCAAGGGACAACTGCCCCCAAATGCCCTGGTATGGCTGAGAGTAGGGCGAGCTCACCCTCCCTCTCGAAATGCTCTCACACGGCCACGCGTATACAGCCTATGCCAGGGAAGTCCTACTCACTGCCTTTTCGTGGCGGAGGTGTTGTTTACGAAAATGAGAGGACGAGAAGCGAATGTCCGGCGCTTTAACCGGATTCCAAAACAATGGTGCACATGAGCTCTGGTGTCCTGAAAGAACAAATGGCGTATGAACCAATCGTTGGTCACCGGCTACCATGGGACTGCATCTCCTCACGATGCTCCACTACCTCGTGGGTCAGACCTTTAGGTCAAAGGCTCGAGGTGTGGTCCCCTAAGAAAACCACCTGCTTCGGTCTGGGCACCCGGGCAGTATCACAGCTCTCACACAAATCGATTGATTTATGTGGCGCATATCTATTTGGCGCCTCCTTGTACCAATATCTATGTGTTAAAATAAATAAATAAGGGACAACTGCTTGAGGTTGGTCACACATGACATTTTTGAGGGTAATTTTTGTGTTAGCTCCGTACTTGTTGAGACCTTACTGCCAGATACGGAAATCCGTAGGATGTGTTGATACATGACACACTCGAACCAATCCAAATTTGCCTCATGTCTTATGTTGATCATGATTGACTGATATATTTTAAGCTGACATACAGTACTATTAACGACTGTTATGATACTAAACATGGCAGTCATTTACTTTTGATCAAGGGTGTATAAAGATATATAGCGCCCCATACTAAGGTATAAGGATGATATAAACGAAGAACTTGGGATATATTTATACCGGTTTAGGATGCCATAATTTACATCCGAACAAATGGAGGAAATCACAAAGAGAAAAAGCAAGGGGACGAAACTGCAGAATGGAGAGTATGAAGTAATAATAAACGCAAGATCTTAGGGAGGACAAAGGATGAGTAGATCTCTGAACCGTGCAACCGATTTCGAAGCATGTTACTATAAAGTATGGTCAGTCAGAAATTATGACCACGAAGCTTTCACTCCTCCCATTCAATTCTTCCTTAGAAATTTGATAGATGATCAGTGATTGTGATTTACTTTGCAGTAGAAGTGACTTAAAACTGGTTCCGTACAGACTAAATTAAGATATTTGGTTTTAACTGGTTTATAACAAAGTGGATGCACAGACTTACTGTTTTAACTAGGATGCAGAACTGTAAACCACTTATCGTGGTTCGTGAAAAAGAACGGGTGTGTAGTACTATTGAGGGCGGATTATAATTGGCTGAGATATCTCGGGTACTTTTATCCTTTACCTTGCTACAGATAATGAACATTAAACATCAGACGAAAAGGCCTATAAACTACTCGAATTCACAGCGATCTATATGAAGTAACAGTCCACAAGATCCTGGCAAGAACCCATTCTCTATTAAAAAATATGTTACACTTGGTATCCCTAGATACTGAAAATGATCTGAAGTCCATCCATCAAGTATCATTAAGCAACAACATTAAAAATACTTTGTATTAAAACATAGAGTACGCAACATTTAGTCACACAAGCATCATGAACTGCGTAATACACATAGGAATAGACATGGGGAGTAATGGAGAGATCACGTTCGTCCATAAATAATCCAGAAATATAACAAGCAGAACAACATTGAACGACCTCAAACACTTTATATGCGCTTGGTAGTAATATACGTAGTGTTTCAAAGTAATCAGAGTTAGAAATGCAGTTTGAATGATGTGAAACTGTACAATATCATTCAAACACTTGTCACGCAAATTATCAAGCTTGATTAGGCTCTTTTATGAACAAAGAAAATCGGAAGTCATGGGACAGACGAAAGAACTGATGTAGTTAGAAATGACAAACACCGACTAACAGGAAGAATACCCATAACCCACTAATCGAAGACTGTTTACTGTCGAAAATCATGGGTACAAAATTGTCATGAAATTGCATCGTGTCCTGTGAGCTATTACGTATAAGATCCACGATCCCAAAACACTTCGCATCGAGCTGGATTACTGACTGCGACATGTCTGAATGATCCGCTTTAGCATGTAAACGAAGCAAAGCGTTGGATTATTCGGAGTGATAAAGGTGTTTTTGCACTGAACATGTTTTAAAGCTAATTTATACTTAAGAATATTATGTATGAACAACCAGTAAGCCATAAAATTCTATGAACACAAGGTATCTTTTAAATTTTAACCCAAGACGACATTATGCAAATTTAGAAGTACTTTTTACACGTTCGGCAACTAATACTGCAGTACTGTATACAACAAGAAAAAGTCACCTGGGGGACAATGTGACTGAGTAGCGGGGAATCCTAATGTCGCGCGCTGCAAGTTGAGTCTTCGCTTCCCTATAGAGTCTCTCCTTTCAGGTCAAGATTTAAGTGTGTTATTACGAAAGGCCACGAATTTTCAGTTCTTAAAAGCATTGAACAATAGTAGGTGAAGCTTTTCATTTAGGGAAAAAGAGCTAACCGATGATGGTTAGAATGAATTCATTTTGCCTCTAAATCCAATGTAGTTCTGTCGTTAGCTGTCACGTAAAGACGTTTGGAGTTGCAGACAGTTAGATGATTCTAATATTTTGACATCATAAGAATGATGCTTTCATTACAAGGAGAGAATAATTTAATCGTAGTTAGGGAGAGAAATGTGATTGATCGGAGTCTACAGTAGATGTAGACCACCACAGTGGCTGTCCAGGAGTAGAAAGACTCCTGGGCATAGGTCATGACAAGATAAACCCATGTTACCTGGTCGATCACGTCCAGGTCGTATTGTTCATTAGGGTTAGCAGTAAGTTCTAATCTCCTTAAAAATATACTACATCCCCAAATCGATGTACTTTGGTGAGTTATTTACGGTTGCAGCTTTCCAATTAGATAGCTGAACCTTGCGTCTGCTTCTTTAGCAGTCGTTCTGATGTGTCGTCTGAGAAGATTCGGGGGATCTCCCTTTTCTTATCGGAAATGGTACATATTGCGGCTGCTGGAATATAACCTAGTTGACACCAGAGATTTCATGGACCAATTTGAAATGAGTTGGTATGTTCTGCTGTAATGATGATAAGACAGAGGAAAAAGTCACTTCGTTCTTATAGGCGAGGCTCTTGAAGTATATGTTTACCAAGCAAGATATTCATATGTCTGAAGGCCGAAGCTCATGTTTGTTTATGGCCTAGATAAGGATGGGGAAACGTTTCAAGTCCTCACGTTAAGGAAGTGACTAACATTGCAAAATAAATAAAAATTAGAGTAGACGCAAAATTCAGGTTGATATTACTGGGTGTGTCGAGAGAACCGGCGGGTTAATCCATTGATCATTGTCTCGTCAAATCAACGTCCATTCTTTCTGTGTCTACAAATTTACCATAGTTGAAGGAGAGTGTGCTGTAAACATGACGTTCAGATCTGTACTATATGGATTTATCTTTGCTGCTAGCAAAATAGATCTAATCGCTATGTCATAGGTCTGCCATGATATGACTCTATCAGATCTCACATAAGAGTCATGTCGTTGTTTATACTAACCCACCCGGTCGTAACAGTCAGTAATAAGCTGTTTAAGACTTCTGAAGACGACATTCGGGCTGTAGGTAGAATAATATATTAAATATGAAAGGGAAGCATTTGAGCAGACTCAGGCCATTCCATACTGATCAAGTGTTTCCGCGCACAGTATTTCTGAACTCCTCCTAGCGTTAAATGTCAAACATAAATCAACTCAGCTATAATATGTCCACCTCAATTACCGCGTGGTTAAGAACCAACATCACCATAGTGTCATGTGACGGAGATAAGAGTATTTCTACAAAAATTGGGTGACTGACTTTTATTCATTTATTATTGTATGCTTCGCAAATGCTTAACGATATTGCTGGTGGTAAAACTTTTTCATTATTAAATTGCATATGTGTTTAGGACGATTTGCAGTTCAGGCGCATAATTTTAATGTCTGGATAATAAATGTTCTGTATTTCTACTCGTTATTAATTATGAATTTTCGGTCAAACGCAAGGCCTTATCCGGGATTCTGAGTTCGTCTATGCTTAACTCTTTGTATTTTGTAGTGCCGCTTTTAGGATCAGTGGTGGAAAACAACATTGCTTGATGGTTCAAAAAGTTATTTGATATGGCCAACACTCAAGAGTTTCCTGGTTGGGTTTAGGGTGGTGGAATGAAAGGGACAAGTTAGCCAAGCGAAAGCCCGAGAAGCATAATGGTCGAGAACTCCTGTTATTGTGTAGTTAATTAATTAGGTCTTGTAAATAAATGCTGCCACTATTCATACGTCCCAATCACACTATTTAAGCAACAAGAAAGTCCAATATATCAGCATTTATAGTCTATGAAAAATGTTTCGCAAACGTAATTGTGACATTCCGCTATATGCATCATGTAAACAAGAATATTAGGCACGGCTTCTGAATTAGACGCTTACAGTTCGTTAAGAGACACAAATGAGTGTCGAAGAAATGTTTTCACTTCTACAGCTGGTAAAAATTTCTCCAAATAAATTTGTTATGTTTTACGGGACTTTTGAAGCCCATATATCTGAATCCAGTCTTGAAAACTTCATGTATTTGACTTTAGGCGACTGTTACGGGAGAACTGAAGACATTTGGCGGATTAAAACCTTTTGTTGTACATTAATAATTTACTGTGATTTTGGATGTAATTGTTTTACTTAACTTTTGAACTTGTTTGTTTATATCATTATTTCTGACATTTTGGTGTCTTTGGTTTGGTAATTTGGTGCTCTCTTTGTCTTTGGTTTGGTATTTGGAAGTTTTGCTCCGGGAACCTACAAAATTGAAGAACGACTTTGGTCAATTATTTGTGAATTGCGAATAAACTTGGTACCTGATTTGGAGTTTTGGTTCTCTTGCCTACTTGCGTTCGTAATTTGCGAATATCGACAGCCAGTACTTCAATAATTGGAACGAGCAAAACTTGGACGTAACAGGCGACAGTTAGCTCAATCAAAGATTTCTCATCATAATACGTTGTGTCCAAGGTCATACGATACCAGCGTTTGGTAATAAGCCACTTTAGTGCACTCAGTGAACACTGAACGTATATACCTTTTCCGTGATCCGATTATTCATATGATAACAGGATTTTAGAACATGCTTCAGTACAGTATGTACATATAAATATTACAAGCCGTACGTTTTGCTACATAGCAAGAATCTTTGTTGGGAAAGTAAGTAAAAGAAAATATAGCTCACGGTATTACCAGCCTACACATCATTTTTTGACAAATAATGATTATGTAGTTCGTCATTCACATTTAAAGTCCATGTTCAGCCACATCCAAATGCATAGCATCCAAACACTCTAGCCCTTCACACCTCAAAGTGTTTTTCGGAACCCGTCTCAAAATATAAACAATTTCGATACACGATTACTCTGAAGACAAGTCAAGAATGACAGTTTATTCGCCAATTAAAATTTCAATCTTGTTTGATATTTAAATGTATGATTTGATTTACGTGGTTCTGTTTGTGTGGCAGTTCCTAGCAATGTTTGTGATGTGTAGTTAAAGTAATAACTGCCGGATTACTTTATTTGTATTACATTTGACTTGAAGACTAGATTACATTTTAACGGTGATCAAAGTATTTTCAGACTGTGGCTTGGGATCGTTTATATTTTTTGAGTATTACAATAATATTCACAACTAGAAGTACCACTAAGAACAAATTCTTAGTTATTTTCAAAATCAGCCAAACCGTTTTAAAAGAATCGAATGCCACAGCAGAGTCCATATACTTGAGTTCGGGAACATGGCTTACTTGTCACAATCAAAATACCTCACACAAACATCTATACATCTGATCAGGATTGGCGCTAGTTGATCGAAAATGATAATTAACGTATTAGTGTGATAAAAATCGCATTCGGGCTGTACAAATCTCTTCTAGAACCATGCTAATAAGTACCAAAAATAATGCGTCTATGTGTGACTGAATTAGAGGTGAATTTCCTGGTGATCCTTTGGAAAGAAGTAACTACCGGCTGCCGTTATTATCTGAAGATTGTAGAATACTATTAACTAAAAATTAATCATTAATCTGGCAATTTACATTTATCAAGTCCGCCTTCACTACCATGGACAACCAAACAACAAATAGGCAGATTTCCAGTAATCCACAGATCTCGATGATTGGTGAAATTATGTCAGTTCGTTTCTAGGAAAGTCTTCATAATTTATATACATGTCTGAATTTGTACTAGTTAACCGTGAGCTAGCAAATTAATTTAAAATAATTACTATTCGTTCACAAAATAATAATAAATCCGAAGGTTTTTTCATATTCAGGTTGATCTGAAGCGAGTTATGACTACAAAGCGTTCATCTATTGGGTTGATCTTAGTATGTCTTACTATGTAAAAAAAATTGACCATTAGCCCTTAATTTTTTTCAAAAGCATCATTGAACACATTCCATAATATTCGGAAATATTCGAAGTAATGCAAACTAACTATAAACTCTCAGAAATGTTCAATTTAGGTCAGATAGAACTCGATGGGCACAAATGAACGTATTGTATTTGTGTAGCACGTACTATTAGCGTTTACTTCCAAGGAGGAGCGATCTAAAACACGACACAACAGTCAGGATCGGTAAATGCCACTCAAGTAAGAACACGGCGTACTGGCACAACCGAAATATATTTTAAAATTGAATGATGTGGTTCTAATACAAAAGGGAAAGCTTATTACAAAATGAATCTATTCATTGTCCTGTAGGTTCATCTTGCTTAAAATTTGTTCTTCTTCTTCTAGTACATTCACTCTTTGTTGCCCTGGAATGAGGAAAAACAAACTCACATTTGTAACGTCATATGTGATGATTAACAATCATTATGTTTAGTTTTTTTCCGTTCGGGTAAATCTAATAATACGTTTTTGTCTCACGACCCTGCTAGTTAAAATTTGGATAGTCAATCATGTAAGAATATGCAATAATAATCATAATATAAATAAACATCAGCTCAAGTTGCTATACCTCATATCACCATAATCCGAGAGTAAATTAACAAACCAAGGATCATATGAGGGAAAATTGTTTCAACGGCTTCTATCGATTATCTGACTTTTAAACTAACCAAGTATAGATTACTATTTCCTTAACATTGCCAAACCATAAACAGTTGACAATATGACGAATAAAGACTGAACGCGAGAGATACAAGCTAACTTTTTTCAAGCAGTAAATACCTTCAGGTCAAACTTGTAAAGAGTGCAAAAGAAAAAAGCAATCTAAGAATGTGTAGCGTGGCGTCCAAATGGGATTATCAATTAACACCGCTACAGAGAAAGACGTTCCAAGTAGATCAGAAGGCGTAGGTTGAACGTAACCAAATAAATCCATAAAATCTCCGAGAAGCCAAATATCAGAAGACAGTTAATGGACCAAATAGAGATATATTCGCTGGTGATCTCGTGGTATCGAAAAAATACCGAGATCATGCCAGGATACAACCTTGGTTACAGAACGTAACCGAATTCGCGCGAAGTCACAATCAATGTGTGTATATGAATGGAAGCACAATATAGCTGTCATTAGCACAGTCAAACAAAAGCACATTAAAACAAACACTGGTACAGTTGGTTATAATAATAATTGTTCTCATTAAACCAGTCGTGTTCTCGTGATAAATGTGAGTCACTAAACATTCATGGATGACTACAAATATAGGGTCTCAATCGACCAATCTCCAATGGCATACGTGTTTTCTTTAATAATAGTTAGTCCAGACAACCATTATCTCGTTCAACAGATATGAGTTTATTTGCAAAGAGTTTTCCATATTGTTGATTTTCAAGGCTTCAGTTCATCACTAGATCTCTGGTTTCAGTACCTCAGTGGATAACATTTTTAGCTGAAGAAATCTTGAAAATCAGGGGGGGCAGTAGGGAATTATTTCGTTCTAGCTTAAGACTCTTCAACAGTACCTCTTAACATCTAATCATTTCTCGACTGTATATATCACAGATTGATCTTATTCAAGGTACTGTAGTAAACGAGAGCAAAAGCGGGAACAATCAAACGTAATTGAAAACAAAATTTCATAATCACCTAGTGAAATCTCAGAACCATATAGTAAATATTTCATGTGCAAAATATCAGTCAATCGTCTCAGACTTATTTGTTCCCTCTTTTCCACAACAATCATTCTCTGTTCTCGTTCTGTTTTCTTTGGTCTTCGTAACCTTCTGCTGCCAGGAATTTCACCTTCGATTGATGATACATACTACTTAGATCTATCAATATCGGTAGAACACATCATCGTACCAATGAAAACCTGATAGGACTGAACAATTATTCGTTTAGTTCCATTTTTTTAAAAATATAGATTATGTATACAACCTTTACTATCAGTGGATAGCAACCATCGTCTTCAATTCCTCTTCTGGTTAACATGTATTTAGCGAGTTAGTTTTCCACGGGATTGGGTCGCTAACCCCATACCTAACCCTACTCCTTTATTCGGGTTTCGGACTGTCAGTAGCTCCAGAAGGGCTCCAGGTGGAGTTAGTAACTAGACAATAAGATTGTAATCACCTGAAGTTTGAACAAAGTTTCAACAACAACAGTCATAACGAAACTATTTGAAATAACTAAAAATACCTAAAGAATTTCACAGGCACGGTTGTGTTTTTTCTTTCAATTAAACATTCGAATTTATTCCTTCAAATAAACAAAACAAAAAAGTTTATATTGACTTGGTGTTGTTATACTTGTATTGTGGTGTGTGCTACTTATATTGACATAAGTAGTATATGATGCTAGTCGTGAACATAAGGTCTGGCAGCAGAGAGACAATAGGATCGAACAATAAAGAATGGAAACAGGATGCAATTTGTATTGAAGTTCAAGAACAATGAAGTCTGAGTCATTATGAGACAATCGATGGACATTTTGCAAATTAAGCATTTACTTTGTGATTGTTAGATTTTATTAACATGTCCTGTAATTTTGGGTTAAATGCATTCGGTTGTCACCCCCCCTAGTGTTCGTGTTCACTATATTATGTCCCCATGCAGATATGTCCGGCTGACGAGTCCCAGATGGGACGAAACATGCGTCCTGGATTCCACTGTTAACCACTATCCATCTAAGAAAACTTAGAAAACTATGTGCTTGATAAATAAAGAAAGAAAGAGAAACAAGAAAAAGAAGTACATTTGAATAACTTAAACTAAACATTGAATATCAAATTATCTAATCACAAATATAAACAAGGGAAGATGATGGAGTTTAAACATGAATGATGAATCATTCATAATTGGAATTTCGGACAACTTTGTTGGTAAGAAAACAAGCGTGAGATTCAAATGGAAATCCCTTTTCTTAAGTAATAGAACAAAGAGATACCAAGAAAAAACATTGATATGACAGTAGAACTATGCATCGATCTTATTAAAAACTTGACATTTTTAATAATATAAATGAATATGTAGTAGTAGTAGTAGTAGTAGTAGTAGTAGTAGTAGTAGTAGTAGTAGTAGTAGTAGTAGTAGTAGTAGTAGTAGTAGTAGTAGTAGTAGTAGTAGTAGTAGTAGTAGTAGTAGTAGTAGTAGTAGTAGTAGTAGTAGTAGTAGTAGTAGTAGTAGTAGTAGTAGTAGTAGTAGTAGTAGTAGTAGTAGTAGTAGTAGTAGTAGTAGTAGTAGTAGTAGTAGTAGTAGTAGTAGTAGTAGTAGTAGTAGTAGTAGTAGTAGTAGTAGTAGTAGTAGTAGTAGTAGTAGTAGTAGTAGTAGTAGTAGTAGTAGTAGTAGTAGTAGTAGTAGTAGTAGTAGTAGTAGTAGTAGTAGTAGTAGTAGTAGTAGTAGTAGTAGTAGTAGTAGTAGTAGTAGTAGTAGTAGTAGTAGTAGTAGTAGTAGTAGTAGTAGTAGTAGTAGTAGTAGTAGTAGTAGTAGTAGTAGTAGTAGTAGTAGTAGTAGTAGTAGTAGTAGTAGTAGTAGTAGTAGTAGTAGTAGTAGTAGTAGTAGTAGTAGTAGTAGTAGTAGTAGTAGTAGTAGTAGTAGTAGTAGTAGTAGTAGTAGTAGTAGTAGTAGTAGTAGTAGTAGTAGTAGTAGTAGTAGTAGTAGTAGTAGTAGTAGTAGTAGTAGTAGTAGTAGTAGTAGTAGTAGTAGTAGTAGTAGTAGTAGTAGTAGTAGTAGTAGTAGTAGTAGTAGTAGTAGTAGTAGTAGTAGTAGTAGTAGTAGTAGTAGTAGTAGTAGTAGTAGTAGTAGTAGTAGTAGTAGTAGTAGTAGTAGTAGTAGTAGTAGTAGTAGTAGTAGTAGTAGTAGTAGTAGTAGTAGTAGTAGTAGTAGTAGTAGTAGTAGTAGTAGTAGTAGTAGTAGTAGTAGTAGTAGTAGTAGTAGTAGTAGTAGTAGTAGTAGTAGTAGTAGTAGTAGTAGTAGTAGTAGTAGTAGTAGTAGTAGTAGTAGTAGTAGTAGTAGTAGTAGTAGTAGTAGTAGTAGTAGTAGTAGTAGTAGTAGTAGTAGTAGTAGTAGTAGTAGTAGTAGTAGTAGTAGTAGTAGTAGTAGTAGTAGTAGTAGTAGTAGTAGTAGTAGTAGTAGTAGTAGTAGTAGTAGTAGTAGTAGTAGTAGTAGTAGTAGTAGTAGTAGTAGTAGTAGTAGTAGTAGTAGTAGTAGTAGTAGTAGTAGTAGTAGTAGTAGTAGTAGTAGTAGTAGTAGTAGTAGTAGTAGTAGTAGTAGTAGTAGTAGTAGTAGTAGTAGTAGTAGTAGTAGTAGTAGTAGTAGTAGTAGTAGTAGTAGTAGTAGTAGTAGTAGTAGTAGTAGTAGTAGTAGTAGTAGTAGTAGTAGTAGTAGTAGTAGTAGTAGTAGTAGTAGTAGTAGTAGTAGTAGTAGTAGTAGTAGTAGTAGTAGTAGTAGTAGTAGTAGTAGTAGTAGTAGTAGTAGTAGTAGTAGTAGTAGTAGTAGTAGTAGTAGTAGTAGTAGTAGTAGTAGTAGTAGTAGTAGTAGTAGTAGTAGTAGTAGTAGTAGTAGTAGTAGTAGTAGTAGTAGTAGTAGTAGTAGTAGTAGTAGTAGTAGTAGTAGTAGTAGTAGTAGTAGTAGTAGTAGTAGTAGTAGTAGTAGTAGTAGTAGTAGTAGTAGTAGTAGTAGTAGTAGTAGTAGTAGTAGTAGTAGTAGTAGTAGTAGTAGTAGTAGTAGTAGTAGTAGTAGTAGTAGTAGTAGTAGTAGTAATGTGTTGTAAACTACTTATAGTGATATAAGTAGTATATAATTCCAATCTAGAATAGAATGCGTGACAATAGAAGGTTAAGAAGATCGAAGAAGAAAGAAGAAGGAACAGAAATTCATTGGTATGAAAATTCAGGAATAATCAAGTCTAAGACAATGATTAATGAACATTTTGCAAATGAAGTATTGGAGTATGGTTTTTTCTATTTTATCAAGTAACTCTGTAATTTTGTGATAAATATGATCGATTGTCCTCAGCTGTGTCCTCGTTTACTACAGCAGTAGTAGTAATAGTGTGGCGAATACTACTTATATTGCTAGATATCAGTAGTGAGATGATGATTATGTTATATTCCCTCCTCCAGACTTTGAGTAACTCAATTAAATTCTATTTTGGTGAAAATCGATCAATCAATGTTTACAAGGTGTTTTAAACTTTGTTTATCTCTTGGAAACAGCGGACTTATTTGATCATACTTACCTTGTAGGATAGCAATAAAATCCGAAGGTTTGATTCCCATCAGTTTTGAACTTATCAGCGGACAGCATCTAGATATTCGGGTGGATATTCACATGGTTACTACAACATTATGCATGTCATATCAAATCCTTACACATTATTCTATGAGCCTCTAAGTCCACAATCATACTAAATTGTTCAACGATCATGATGATGTTAGTAATTGTTTTCAATTTCCATCTGTCCCTAATAATCAACACTGAAACTTACTTACTTACCCCTGTTACTCCTAATGGAGCATAGGCTGCCCACCAACATTCTCCAACCCACTCTGTGCTCCGCCTTCTTTTCTAATTAGAGAGAAAAGTAAACAGCAATATCAATGCTGTATACATGATGACATTTTACTTTGAATAGTAGTTTGATTGATCATGGAAATCTATGGAAGACCCATAATACGAACACTAATGGTCTTACTTGATAAGAATGAAGACTCAAAAATTAGATATGTTTTATAGTGACGAATTGAGATTCACATGTTAGGTTATGTGACTCTGATTCAGTAATGACATATACATTCTGATGACTAGTAAAATGACTGGCAAACATTGTCTCAACTAGGCTGAAATATGGTGATATTTAGAGGGAATTTCAGGATTTCTAGTGAGAAGCCATGACCAGTAGAGCTAATCCGTGTTGTGTAGAGATAGGTATCTACCCTAGTACAATGGAAGATGATTTTTCAATTTAGTGGATTGGTTGAGGTTAGACATTAACACCGTTAGATATCAACTCATTGGTCTAGAGGTTAACCGTTCGCGCACGAGACTGAAGTTTCTGGGTTCGAATCCTGTGTGCGGAATCGAGGAGTTCCACAGTAGGACCAAACGGCCATTTAGTGCTTTCAAGTTTTCACTAGTGGTCTAACATCAATCGGTTCATAGTCTCAATTAAAAAGAAATGATAATAATTGATTGTAATGTTGTCATTTTGAACTTGGGCAACATAAATTACTTTCCTTCACTAATACTCATAAATCATCGATTCAAAAAATCTTTTATACATGAACTAAGATGTATTTGGTGGTCGTTTTTTTATAGTGTATTTACTTGTTTGAAAAAGAAAACCTTTTATTAAGAATATCTACTCTAACAACGACTCCCATATAAGGTCAACTGCTAAGGGAGGATGGTTTGAATCCTACAACTACCAAAGATTCAACTCAGGACGTTCGGTGTAGTCATCGAAGTCAAAAGTGAAATAGGATCGGAAGTAGATAATTTAGACAGTAAGTTTTAAGTCGATTAGTCTAAACTCCACCTGGAGCCCCTCCAGGGCTACTGCCGGTCCCAAGCCCGGATAAAGGAGGAGGGTTGGGCATTGTGTTACCGACCCCATTCCGTAGAAAATTAACTCGCTAAGAAAACGCTAAAAACGCTAGACTAAAGGATATCGTCCTTTACGTGAATACAAAAGATCCAGGGCTTATTTCCAGTAAACTAATTCACACAAAATATTGTGGTAAATAGTTTTTTTTTACTCTTTCTTCTGAAGTTCATCCGATATTTCGATCTTTCCTGAGTATACTCCTGAGTTGATATACGCCACAGTATAGATTGATCAATACAAAACTATCGACATATTTTACAAAATATAATCCCCCTGTAGTGAACGAGAACATAAGTGCGGGTATTCTATTCTTGACATCGTTATATACTACTTATGTCGATGAAGTAGCACACATCACACCCCTATGTAGTAGAAGTAATATGTATTATACAAACTATAATCAAGAATAAACGACATTGTCTTAATGCTATTTTGATAATTCACTTAATTCTAACCGCCTACTAATAACTTTTGTTAAGTAGTAATGAGGTTAAACATTTTTTACTAATGAATATTTACCAGTAGAAAAATTTTTAAAAGATTATTAAACACAAGTTAACTAAGTACTTGATGGTTGTATACCAGTAGTGGGAAAAAGGTATCATGTTCCATTTTTAACTAGGACATATCAGTTAAGTATAGTTACGTTACAATGTTAATATTCATAGTCAGATCGGAGCCAACTAACTATCATTTCATTATCTCTTGACTCTGGGTTATTAACTTGTTTAGTGGTTATAAATATGTGTAGTGGCATTGGGCCATAACTTCACAATCCTCAACGGTGAACATGAGACAACTTGGAAAATAGATATTTAACATTTAACTCGGAGAAAAACCTAACGATAGAGAAGGCGGAAACAATGAATTGAATTAATTCGAAATAATCGGGTGGCATGACTCAACCTTGTAGGCATGGTCGCTGTGTAAGACCTCTTTTTTACTTATATTAAATATGTGGTTCTATCTTCAGCCTGAATGAGTTCTCCATCATCTATTGGTAATTTTTGCGATAAGATGAGTCAGTGCAGACAATGGTGTGACTTTCACGTATGATCATATAGACTAGGCAGTTACATTATGACAAATCTATAATCTTAGGATTAGATCCTTATTATTAGAGCAATACTAATAACGAAGAAAGAAGTGCTGGAAGTGGATAGGACATGCATTGAGGAAAGCACCCGACTTCATCACAAGACAAGCCCTCACATAGAATCCTCAAGGCCAAAGGAGAAGAGGAAGATCAAAGAACACATCACACCGAGAAATGGAGATAGACATGAGAAAAATGAACAAGAATTTGATAGAACTAGTTAAGAATGCCCAGGACAGAGTGAGTTGAAAAATAACGGTCGGCGGACTCTGCTCCATTAGGAGTAACAGGTGTAAGTAAATAAGTAAGTAAGTCAGTACTAATAACGAAGTAGACAATCATTCATACATATGTTCTTTTTTAATGCTTTATACTTTCTTGTTTCAACATTCATATTACCAACTAAGACTATAAACTTACAAATAGCAAACTAAGTTGTTTCACCAACATGGAATAGACATCCAAAAATAAGGTTGATGTACTGTGTTGTTTTCAACTACTTAATGTACTTTAATCTAATTATATATTACAAATAAATAGATATATACAATGTAAACATATATGTGATAAGATGAAACTAAATTCAATATTTATCTTGTTTATTTCATTCTACTCCATGGTGGCGGTTGATTTTGAGAACAGCGCTACATAGTCCATTCACTTCAATGTTCAATAGTTCATACACCTACACAAATAAACGTAAAATAACATCAGCAGGAAGTGTGCGAAAACATTAAATAACTAGTAATGATTTTTATTTCTATATCTCGGTGAGACTATAATTTATAGAAGATCTTTGAACGACGCTAGAATGACCTTGAGAATGTCCACTTGATAACTAGTGTGGTGTGTGCTACTTATATTGACATAAGTAGTAGATGATGTTAGTCGTGAACAGAAGGTCTGGCAGCAGAGAGACAAGAGGATTGAACAGAAAAGAATGGAAACAGAATGCGATTTATATGAAAATGCAAGAACAATAAAGTCTGAGTCATTATGAGACAGTTGATGGACATTTTGCAATTTACGTATTTACTTTATGATTGTTAGATATTATTATTATTTCGTATCAAACAGATTCGATTGTCCCCACTGATGTTCTTGTTCACTACACTAGGACCAAGTGAGGGTTATACATTAGTGTGAGGAACTTGAATTATGATTTACAGTTGATGATTAAGGCTTAGGAATTAGATTTATGGTTTTTCATCACGAACTAACATCAGCTATAATGCCAAAAGTCTATTTAGCCTAATGGATGAATGAATTTCAAGCGAAAATCCGAGACATGTCATCTAATATCTGATTGGTCCGTCCATAAATTATAGTCTCGCCCTATGTCTTTAATATCCATTGTTATTTTCTGCTCATTAACTATTCATTAATGAGACTGATAATAATCACAGATCAAATTTATGACTTTAGTGATAGAGTATAGAATTATGGTCTACTACTTCTCGAATAATAGACCTAATCCTAAAATTGTAGATTTGTCATGATGTGACTATCTGATATATAAGATCTTACATGTAATTCACATCGTTGTTTATACTGACTCATCCTATTGTAATCATCACCAATATATGATAGAGAACACATTTAGGCTGAGGATAGAACAATATATTTAATATGAATGAAAGAGGTAGGTTATACAAGAATGATTTCGCTTGCAAGGCTGAGTCATGCCGTCTGATGAATTGAATTGAATGTCCTCACGTTCTCCATTATTAACATTCTCTTTGTGTCAGTTGTCGAATAAAAATCTTTCTAGTAATTATATGCTTAGCTTCAAAGGTCGTGTGGTTATGGTCCTCTTCCACTACAAGATCACAACCGTAATAGATATTAGTGTTCAGGAGTTTACTAAAACTAAGCGTAAATATTATAGTAATGATTTCAATAACTTCGAAGACTGTAGAACAAAAATGAAGTGACAAGAGTAATTTTCACTACCATGTTGTTAATATTTACGTTACTATCGACATACGTAGATCTTGATCTTATGTCATAATATCACTTAAAGGGACAACATTTTTGGTACATCAGTGCAGGTTAGATATTAACACGCTACATGCTAGTTCAGTAGTCTAGAGGTCAAGCGTCCACCCGCGAGATTGGACGTCTTGCGTTTGGATCTGAATTGCATAGTGGCAAATGTGCATGCCCGAAGAGTCTCACTCTGGGACGAAACAGCCGTCCTGTGATTCCAAATTTTCAATATTCGTCTAACATTGATCGATTTTTGATCTCAATCACAAATTTTTGGCACAATTTAGAAATATTTCCAGCAAACGAATACAGAACACAAGTCTCAAACTCTATAGAATAAGTTTAATAGTTGAGATCGTGAGTCAATTGAAGCTAGATCACCATGGAAAACCGGAAAGCGCCGGATGGCCGTTTTGTTCTACCGCAAGGACTCCTCAGAAGTGCACGTCCAGGATATCGCCTCGCGAGACTCCAACCAAGGATCTATCACTCTCGCACGCGAACGCTTAACTTCTAAACCACTGAGCTGGTCGGCATCCATTGGTGAAAATGGTTAACTTCAACTAATCCACGAAATTAAGCGACACGTCCATCATTGTCATCAGTAAGTTACTA